TGGTTCTGTCTTGTTTACTTCTTTCATAGGAAATGCAAGTTTATACGTTATGATATATATTTTATATTCTTTTGAAAAGTTTAGGGATGATTGTTTATACTACTCTTAAAACCATTTTTACATCAATGATACTCAGGATAAGATTCTCATTGTGTTAATCTATTTCTGAACGATTTTCGAGGTATATTGCCATCAAAAGAAAGGCAAAATAAAGTATTATTTGATTGTTCAATGGTACTACCGAAAATGCTGGAGAGTTATTTGATCCTTTTGTTCGTTACTTTGAAAGTAGTGTCCTTTTTTATTTAGAAAATAATATTTGTGAGTAAAAAAACTGCAGTATTCTGAAAATAACTGAAGTCCTTAAGAAAGCAGCAGAATCTATTTCTTTATTTTTTTTAAACTGTATATGTCAGTATGACAGAAGTTTTTACACTTATTACAATCAGCCATAATGATTCGACTTTTATTTTGACTCTATGAAAATTTATATTATTTGTGCAATATAAGAATGGTTTACTATGAGATTGAAATATTATTAGATTGCAACTTGATATATAGACCTATAGGGTGGATTTTGATGTTGGTGTGGATATGGTTGCGGATCTTCTATTATTTAACGCCCATATCTACACCCATTCCTACTCACACCCACACTTATACTCACATCCATATCACAGCCGCACCTCACAGCTACAGTCGCACACACACACACGCACACCCTTCAATCATTCAGTCGATCAGAGACCTATGTCGCGAGCAATATCGCACAGAAAACGAACGAACATTATTGCAGTTTCACTTTGTTTTGCCTCTATATTTTATACTATTAGTCTCAAAGATGCGAACTGTAACAATATTTTAGATAAAAGCATTCATTTAGGTAGAATGAGGCATAGAAGTCGAAAATATGATAGTTACGTAACAGGAAAAAAATATTAGCAAATTCATCAAAAGATGTATCTTATAAGACGGCAATGCAATCTATACAAAGTTAAACACTTGTAACTGTGATAGCATTCAATTGATTGTTATATGATTCATTATATATTGTTCAAATAAAAGTCACACTCATATAGTATTCAATATTGTTTTTATCTGAGTTTTCGAATGACGTTAACAGACTATTCCTGTCTGTTTATCATGACAAAACAGCTATCATGAATCCAATTGATAAAAAACTCTTTCGAAGCTCACTACTACATATATTTTGGTTATTATTAATGAATAAGTTACGTAGGTAGAAAATAATAAAAAGAAACGTCTTTCTTTTCACTTGTTTAGTCAAAATACATCAAAGGTTTGACGAACATCACAATAAAGATAACACATTGACGTTTGCATGACGTATCATGCAAAATTATCTTTCTCATCATCTATTTATAAACACGATTTGGTCATATCACGGTATTTTTTACATTTTTGCCAGCTGTGTAACACCAAACGAAGATAGAGTAATTCTCAACAATTCGTTTTTATTAAACAAGTAGGATTATTATTATTATAGCTCGTCTGTCAAACTAATAAGTCATCATGCAGATGAAAACTGTTTATAAGACAATTTACTCTTTTAGCCTATTTAAACTCATCTATTCTCATTTTGTTTAATGGCACTCGCTCGCCATTCACAGCCCCTACAATTCACTTCTTTCAATTTGGATTCTTTTGCTCTATGGAGTCATTCAAGTCTTCTCTATCAAACGTCGTATAAATGAGAAGCTATCATTGTTATTTAGACTCTTAAAAAATTCGACTTTATAAACCCTAATGTCAAAAGCATGTTTCAAAGCTCTCTGTTGGAGCAAATTATTGATACGAAAATTATTATATCAACATCAAAATGCATTGTCTCGGTCAACAATGTATTCTCATAAGCTCTTTATATTCTATCAGAAATATGGGCCGATTGAACTGAAACTTTTTTCCCAAATACTCCAAAAATAATTCGAGATGAAAACCTATTTTCCAGTTTCTAACAATATTGTTTTTATTGAATTTGGACAGATTTTACAAAATTCAGCCCACTCAAATAGCAAGCGCTTCTTTACGACGCTTTTCGTATTTTAATATTTTTCCTCAACAATCCACTCAAAAAAGAAACTAAAAAAATAGTCACATCTAATTTTCTTAAGCATTTGGAAAAAAATCGCAGCTTAATCGTTTAACCTCTTTTGCTAGAATTTGGGGAATATTAGTTAGGTCATAATTTGCACTTGCAATCTCTAATATCTCAGAGAAGGAGGTATTGTGCGATCTGCTATTCGAGATCTATCAGATCTGCAAGCTTCTGAAGTTTTCGATGAGCCATTCTCCAGAAATCTTCAGTTTCTTCATTTTTATGTTTGTTCTGTAGGTTTAAATGTTCTCGATCTAATGAGCAGGTTTTGAAAAGTCAAAACCTCTTTCTTTTGCTTATAAAAAACTTGAAAAACGACTCTAATTTAGGCTAAAAAGTGCAACTTTCTTTGCATTCCTCTTAAAACTAATTTTTGAACAAAAAAACGATGTTTTCTCTTCCTTTCTTCCGCCTGTTAAGTCTAATTGAGCTCAATTTTTTCTTTTGAGTACTATGAACAAATCGGAGTGTGATTTTTTTTCCTCAAAATGTTGTTTCTACGAAATCTGGAAGCCTTTAAAAAATAGTACTATTGAAAGACAACCGTTCTTTTGACGGTGCTTGCAATATTTTCTTTCTTATGAGCTCTAGGAACGATAATTTAAAAAAAAACACATCTTGATTTGCTCCTAGTTGTTATTAAAGAAAACGGCACCTCGAAAAAATAAGATATAAAGCTTGACGGAGGAAACTTTTAACCATCTTTGGTCTTGACGACTTCAGTTATCCTCGAAGAAAATATCTGAAAATTTTTAGTCGATGACAACTTTTGCTCCACTTATCGAGATCTATCTGCCCCTTAAAGTTTCATAGTTTTTTGTCGAGCTGTTCCCGAGAGACCAAAAAAGGAGGTCCTCTGAATATCTCTGTTATTTGTCTCATTTATTGACTTTGTTAATATTCAGTATGACAAAAATTGACAATGGGTTATCCTCTTTTAGTAAAAGGGAACCTACAAAAGGAACTTTTTACGATAAAATGAATATTTTGTATCCATATGGATTTTAAAGATGTTTGCATTTTGTCATTCTTTTCTGCAATATATTGGCTGCGATTCATATTTTGTTTTTCTCCTTTGATTATGTGTTCTCGCTGGCCGTTCTCTGCTCTTGCATAGGAACTGTTTGAAAATGATGTTGCTCATCGCTTTTCTTCTTTGATCTTTGCTCTATCTCTCCTTTCAGCACAAGCAATCGACTCTACTAAACAAAGAGACGATATATCTGTAATCTATGTATCATCATCACAACTTGGGCAGAAAAGACGAGTAGAATTCATGCTGAACTGAATAATGACACAGCTGATCAATCAGGTTGCAGATGACAACTTTCAGATCGCTGATAACATGAATCTCTTGTCAAAGTTGTTTGACAACTCTTTGTTTTTAATATAGCTGCTTTTCGCCATCGCCGATCTTCGTCTGAAATATGATGCATTGATCATATCATATAAGAAAAAAATTTTTATGTTCTATTTCATGAAATTAGTATTGATATTCTGTTTTTGTTCACATTTATACTAGCAGGGACCTGAAAGTTGTCATCTGTAACCGATTGATCAGCTGCATGATTGTTCCATCCAGCATGAGTTCTGCTCGTCTTTTCTTCCCAAGTCGTGATGATGACACATAAATTACAGATATATTGTGTTTTTTTTAGCAAAGTCGATTGCTTGTACTGAAGGGAAAGGTAGAGAAAAGATCAAAGAAGAAAAAGATGAGCAACCTCATTTTCAAATAGTTTCTATGCAAGAGTACAGAACAGACAGCGAGAACACAAAATCGAAGGAGAGAAGTTGCCTTTATCAACAGGTTAGAACACATTTGGTACTATTTTTGCTATTTGGTGTCTGAGAAGCGAATTTGAATAATATACTATCAACATTTTCAATATTTATGTTTGAAATATTTCTAAATTTGTTTCTTTTTTTTAGCAGAATGGAGTCACGATCAAATGTATTCTCCAGTGAACATACAAATTCCAACAGAAACAACACTTCAATTTACTTTAATGAACAACAATCAAATGCAAGTTTGGATTCATTTTTTCGATTAAAATGTCATTCTATTATTATATAAGTAACTTGCTAATGTTTCGAATAAGTCTCAGATCACTTTTTACGTGGTTTTATGGACAAAACTTAACTTTTCTGTGATAAAACACTAACAATCATTTTATTTAAAAAAAAACAATTTTGTTCATTATCTCGAGTTTGTACGGAGCAGAGATCCGCATAACAGCTAAAAACCCTAGTCAATCCTCACCAACAGAATCCTTCGGAAGTCTTTTGAAAACATTCCTGAAGATTGACGAGAGATTCCCTATGAACTCACCGGAGATTTGCTTGGAATTTCTCAAGAATTCATGACAAAAACTCCGGCTATTGTAGAGGATTGCATATGAGTTCATTTATTATCGTGTTTACATAACGCCTCTTGTCAGTGAAAGAGAGGAAATGACTAAAATAATACTCACCATCAAAGTTACTATAAAAATTAATTTAAATAGAGAAAATAAATTTATTTTGTTAAATTCACATTTGTCATTCTAGTTGTTCTTACTATTAATCTAAAAAATAACATTGTACTCTCTAAAAATCGGAAACTTCGCATAGATTTTTTAAGGAGTCACTCAAAAGACCTCTGGGGATTAGACTCTCTTTAGAGAATCTTTGTCGACTAGGAAAATCACCCTGCCTCTTCATCACATGTTCTATCATGGTTCCACACCATCAAAAAGGTACATTGAGTGGCAACTTTGGAAATTTTTCAAACACCTCGATTAAACATGTGCAGTCATATACGATGCAGCAAGGCTATTCACGAATATAAACAGATTCCATATCCTTCGCCTTAGACAGACGTCACAATCGCTATTTCAATTCTATGACATCAAATAAAGTAAATAAAATAGAGTGGTGTCATAATCCCGTAACACCCGGTATCCGCATTTGCTTTTCTCCGGGTATTGAATGGAGAAGTATCCATTTTCATATACGATACGATATCTTGAAGCGTATCCAACTCGGTGTCCTAAGCTATAACCATACACCAAAACTTGGGGAATATGGGTCAACTTGGTGTATTACCCGAAGGGTAATGACCTCCAAATTTAAATAAATATTCTAAAGTTGAGGAATTTGAGTGAATTTGGTGTATTATTCCAAGGGTAACGACCTCGTTACCCCAAATTCACTCAAAGTCCTCAATTTTAAAAACATGTAGTTCATTTATAAAGTAAGTAAGTCATTACCCCTAGGCGTAAGTTTCATTGTGTAAATGAATTCACTTTTAGTTGATTACTCTGTAGGGTATCCTGACATTTACTTCTCGATACCTAGTGTAATAGTATTATGATATCTATCATAAAATATGGATTTTTTTCATGTTGCCTCAAACATATATCAAGAAAGAATGATTTTTTGTATCAGTCATAGTACATGCACAATACTGAACATTGGTTGCTGTTCAAGCTTTGTCTCATATAAATAAAGAGATTTTTTTGTCGAGATCTTTCTCGAAATCTTTTCGTACCAGATACATATTTGAATGAACGATTTTAAGAAAGATATTGATCAACCTCTTAATTGATAAGAGGCAGACTCCGAAAAAAAGCCAACCATCAACATTATGTATGTACTATAGCTGATACGAAAACCATAGCTTTCTGATAAACGGTTGAGCCTATATGAACACAAGTAGCTGTATTACCATAGTTGGTTGGACACTTCCTTATATGTATAGACTATTTCAAAACACAAAAAAATAATAAGAGCCGCTCATTTTTATAGATTTAGCTGTTTTCTTTAAAAAAAAATACAGCATTATCAGGAGGCGAGGGAAGCCGCAAAATTTCGGGTGATCAGTCACTACCCTAAGACGGAAGATGACAGAAAGAAGCGGTTGGTATAACACCGCAACTCACGAGTCTCTGATGCGTAAAACATTTGGAGATATGAAAATCCTTAAGAAAATAATTCACTTCAAAAATTATGTAACCTAGTTCGTTAACAGTTTCATACGTTGTTTTGTTTTTTATTATAGAATCCAGTAATATTGAATGTTGAATCTCGATTCGGTTCAACAACAAATTCTTCTCTTGATTCTCCTCCAATAAGTGAATTAATTGATTTTCATAAGAAACGTTTACGTAAACAGCTCAAATATCTGTACATCGTGTCTGGAATAATCGCCATGGTTGGCCTGGTATTCTTAATTACATCGTTTTTTCTACCAAAATGTGACAGTAGTTATCGAGATTGTTCGTCATTAAATATAGTATTTCTTACGGTCGGTTCAAGTATCATTGGTTTAGGAGTTGTATTTGCACTTTCTGGTATGTGCTTTCAGTGTTGTTGCATGAAACAACAATTTGATGATGTAAACGCTACTGAACAACAACATATTGTTTGGCGATTGGATGGCGCAGAATGGACACGATATTTAGACTATATTCATGGCCCCAATCGAGCATGGATTGAAATGGCTCAATTATCATCTTTCTGCTGTCGACGTTCAGCCTATGAGAGATTAATGAATCGTCAATATGGTTATATTGTTTTGCATGAAACTGGTTTGATAATTGATGAATTATATTTCATTTCATTTCGACAATACACTTTACAAGGTGTACAATTACTCGATATCGATGAATATCAACGGACAGTAGGTTTAAGAATACATACATATCTTAACGCTGGAAGAAATAGTCGCAACTGTTATTTCGATTTGTTTGCACCATCATCTGTCTCATTGGAACAATTGAAAACAATTGCTAAATTCTACAATATCAAAATCCCTGGACTCAATGTATTAGGTCTAGCTATGGATGGAATTCCTCTTGCTCAATCTACTCCACAAGCATTCAGCTAACATATTTCATAGTATCGCTATTAGACGTCAGAATTAATCAATTCCTATGATTAAAAATGATGAAATATCAACTATTGTAAAGTGATACTTTTGACACAAGAATAAATTTTCGTTTATTTGAGAAAGTCATTGTAATAGATGATATTTACAATTTTTGTCGTATGTATAGATCTTTTTCATGTTAGAGTCAAAAAAAAACTGTAGAGAACAACATTTCTGGACTAGTCTGAGTGCGAAAGCCTATAGCCGAAATAGTCATGAAACCGAACTATACAAGACAAACAATAGTGAAGTCAATCACTGATATTTTCTGAGACAAATTAAGACAAATAACATATCAAAACACATTCAATGGCAATGGGGCTCCTCCCCAAAGATATTTCTCATATCATGCTTTTATATTCACAGTACTTATAGAACCGATAAGGCCTGTAGCTAACAGGCTAACACCGGTGATGAGAACAGAATGTGTCACACAGACAGTATGGGCATAATTGTAAAATGGGAGTGTGGGTGTGAGGGTGTGGGGATATCAACAGAATAATTTGACTGCCATCCAAAATGAAAATGTTCTGTCAATTATAACAATTATTTTCATCATTTTTTACAACTCCTCTTCACCGAATTAGAAAGGAAAAAACGGCATGCATCAAGTTTCTGTTCAGCAACTACTTTTAGTAGATTGCCGTCAAACATCTGTTTTGTCGACCAAAATTTCTTTCTTTTGCTTGAACACCTTCATCGAAACTATCTGCATTTAACAGACAATCAAGTTCTGGATCCATGACAACCAACTAGATAACTATCACAAGTCCATAAACGAATTTTAATAGAAAGAACTCGAATCGGTTGGTAACTACACTTATGTCAAAGGTTATTTATCGTTTTTAATACCAAGGCTTGCTACTTTTTACAAATTCATCTAACTTTTTTTATCATTTGACTTGTATAATACACACATTCAATATTGAAAGACACATATTTATATAGATTAGTCAAAGCCCGAGAAAGAAAAAGAAAAGAAAGACAAAGCTACACGATAAAAACAGGAAGGTACTATCTGATGTGACCACAGGCCATAATATGTCCTTGTTTTCTGCAGCTTTATGATGATGACAACGACGCATATTTGTAGAACAACAAGTATTCTAATCAGCTAAACGATTTATATGATTGTCAGATTTAGGACCAATAAAATATCACTGACTGTATTCATCGGCAGTTCCATAATATGATTTTTGATTCCATTCTTATTCAAATTGCCATCCATATTTACAACCAAAACGATCATGGAAGAATTTACAGCTATCACCAAAATTTTGATTAGTATAGACCTGTGTCTTTATGATCGTTGGATGTATCCGGTTGATAATACCAACGAACTGACGTATGTAGATGTGCTGATACACAAACTAAACTTAAATAAAAATAATATTTTATCTCTCCTTGGAACAAGATCACTACTTGCATTTTCTTGTGCAATATCTTTTTTGTGCCATAAAATTGTTAATTATTAATACCACGAGAAATTTTATCATCTGATTTCTCTTTTAATTCTTCATTTATTGTTTTTTTCTTTTGCGCACATTCAAAAATAGATTGTCTACTATATTGTTTATGAGTATCAATTTTATTTACAGTCATATTGACTTGGCAATAACCTATAATAATATTGGTAAAGTGCATGCACGGCAGGAAGACAACGTAATGGCACTCTCGTTGTTCGAACATGCATTGGAGATCGTACAAGATTCGCTACCAGATAATCATCCAACTTTAGAGACTTTTCGAGATAATATTAATCATGTACAAGGCAATGCTTAACCTCTGTCTCATAGCAATGAAATAAAGGGTTACTTAATCTCAAAAATGGATTATTTTGTTCGTATTTGTAGACAAAAATAGCAATGCATCCATTTTTCACAAAGCAAACAAATTTTATTTTGATATGATCGATGATGTGTCTTTGCTTTCGCCATATTCTCTTTCGAATCTAGACATAATCAAGGGTGTGGGGTATGGATAGTAGTAAGGACATGTAATAGACTCGCGCGCACACGCACACCCCACCATACCACATATGATCGGAATATTCTTTGATTGGATCCACAATACGCTACCATTTCACTAATCATTCTAGTTTCTTCATTAATTATCATGGCTATGTATTTATGTCATTGTATCCTTTGCATCATTAGGTATCGATGTTATCAACCACTGAGGCAGTTGTGGGTGGGATGTACTTTACTACTTGTATGTATAAGATATCCACACCCATCCAAAGAACCATCTTCAAGCTAGGATTGACGCGACACTCGGTATTCTTGTTTTTAAAAAAAATTATATTTCATTTAACACGACCTCTTAATATTGGTGATCTTGATCTAGAAGAGTCGAAGGACGTAGAAGATAACATAGAGAGATCCAGAGCAAATGGAAACATTAAAATTGATTTAGAAAGACTACATAAACGAAACAGCAGAGGTCAATTGATTGAATCGAAAGTATGGGAAGAGATCCAACGCTGAAGGTTCTGACCATATTCTTCATCGTTTTCATCTTTTAATCATGTATAATCGCGAGGAATGTCTTTTAATCTAGTATATTCGTGAAAATACTCGGCAAAGTGGGTAGTCTGCTCACGGCTTCAAAAGATTGCATTTTGAAGCCGTATGAATCCGTTAATGAAAAGAGCCATATCGCGAACACCACTGACTTTTATATCTAAATATTCCACATTTGAGAACGAACAACAAAGTGGTTCGATGCTTTTATATGGAATTCTACCAAAGGCCAAGTGCTCACTATCTAAAAAAGAAAATAGAAATATTATTGTCGAGCTTATGAAACTCTATATCATGGGAAATTTCGAGATTGATGATGATTATTTTGCGAAAGTGTGAAAAGTAAAACGTGGATCTGTTCTAAATATTGTTGAATAGATACATTCATGACTCACTGGAATATGTGATGAGTGCTCGAATATTGGCATAAGCGGCTTGCCAGACATGATCGTCTGAAAACTCAAATTCAATGCTCCGGACACAAGGTGTGAAGCGGGGCACTGTTTCGAGGATATGTGCATCAGACACAACTAATCGTTGTAATGTGTTCACCTGGAATTTGTTGTATGAGAGGAATCGTTCGAGTTCTATGATAATCATATCGGACTTGAGAAAGAAGTCCATTTCTCGGATCACGATTATCTTTTTAATATCACTATCTTGACGCGAAAAATTGCATCTATGATCCGATCTAATGGAAACTAGTTTTTGAAAATTGAAACTGATAATGATTTTAGATGATGAATATTGTGAAGTCAATTCAATCTGCTGTGGAAAATGGGAACTTTTTGCAACTGTTTTGAATGGTAAGATCCGGTCTGTAATCAATCGCCGTTCATTCATTTCAAAATAGCATCCATCAGAATGTCATTCGTTGGGACAGAAAAAATGGAATGTTCGAAGATTGGGTAGGAATAATTGAATCAATTTTTGTCATCGAGATTCATTGCCAAAAAGAGATCTCTCCAATTCTAGACACAGACAGACTAATTCAGGTAATCGATGAACAACTTCAACCATCGTGTCAAATGATATGCTCTTGTGATCTATGAGTACCAATACATGAGCAAGCGTTTGATTAGTTTCTTCAGAAACAAAAAAATGCATAACTTACATGGAGCAGAAACATGTAAATGTTTGAGATGAGGACTCAAATTCAATAAATCCACGAGATTACTACTACTACTACTACTACTACTTTGATCATGAAGCTCTAAATGTTGTAACGCTGTAGCCGATGCTATAACATTGTACGTTTCCAATGTGTCTTCCGACGATGAGTATTGGATCGAGAGATAGGTTAATTGATCGAATTTCACTTGCGGATGTTTGAATAAATTATCAACACAGCCATGGATGGCTAAGCGCCGAAGATTTGGAGGAAAAAGAATGCTCTGAACACCATCTTTCGACCAGAATCTGGACCATTCCCATAAGTTGATGGTGGAGAGATGCTGCAGATTGTCTAAATTTGACCAAAGTCGAGCTAATCTATCATGTGATTTAGTTCTGTGAATTGTCAATGAACGAAGTTGAACAAAGTGAGCGAGTTCAAAGTTCGTGAGAAACAGATTGACTTGCCCAGGTGTTTGTTCATCGTCATAAACAGTGATTGCAAGAATTTGTTTAGGTCGGATTCGAGCGCAGATTAAGTCGAATGTCACCTTTTTAGTGGCCTTGAGGTTCAAGACTAGAGAATATGTCGAGAATATGAGCTCGAACTTAGTCTTTAGGTGCGAAAATGATCGAAAAAGGTCAAAGGGTGATAAAAATTCGAAGATGAAATACAGAACTTCCACAGGCAACAATTCTAGGCGTAAACTCATAATGCAACTTGCCAATTATTGAGATTTGATTGTCTGACGTTATCACTGAATAGAAGCAAATAATTTATTTTCAATATTGTGAATATGCTACAAAAATAGTAACACATGTTGATCTCCTTTAACTTCAATCAAAACCATCAAATAGCAAGTACTCGACAGTCTTGTAATTTATGTTCTATAAATTTTATTTTCATTCACTATAAGAATATGACTAAAAATGATGCTGTCTGGCCTTATAAACGGACGAAGGCTTAACATTGATAAAATGTTTTCTAATATGCTACTGTAATAGGAAAACCAACGAAACGAGTATTCACATACTTCTATAGGAAAAAAAGACATTACAATCATTAAATTTTATTGTTGCTGTTTTCTGTCGTTCGATACTAGCTTTTTTTTATTTTCTGATCTGCCTGTTATTTTCTCGTGCTTATCATATTCATAATTTCTCTACCCCATATTTTAACGGTAGATGCTCTTTTCTTGTTCATGCATGTCATATATAGTGCGTTGATTTCTTAGCAACAAATCATTATCGTCGCTCATCTGATCCTCCGAACAGTTCATTTTAGCCATTCACAGTTTCTTAAGCGACAACAATGCGTGACAA